GAGAAATTCTGCCCTTTGCAACAATATGGATGAACCTGGAGGACAATATGCTAAATGAAATAAGCCAGTCACAGAAGGACAAATACTGCATGATTCCACTTATAGGAGGCATCTAGCATAGTCAAACTCAGAAGCAGAGAGTAGAATGGTGGTTCCAGGGGCTCATGGGAATGGGAGGGGCTGTGCAACAGACAGAAAGTTTCAGTTATGCCAGATGCCTGAATCTTAGAGCTCTGCTGTTAAAATAGTGCCTATAGTTAGCTACATTGCAATGCACACTTAAAACGTTGTTAAGAGGGTAGATCGCATGTCATCTTCTTACCGCAGTAAAAATAAATAAATTTTAAAAAAGCAACTGGAAAGCAATTATACAAATACAGTTCTTAAAAGATGGAAGTTAGGATTTAAATTGCCTCATTCTCCAGATGTGAGGTAATGTTACTCCATATGTTCTAATTCCTTTAATATGTTTGTTGGAAACAGAGTTTCATGGACTAACTACTTCCTGGTGTGGGAGTATCTTATCTGAATCATAGAAGGCTCCAGAGATGGGGCAAGCTGATAACTTGAGCCAGGGAGATGAGGTCATTCTTTCTGCCAGTTATTGCAATCTTGCAAAAGGCAGAGCCTGGGACATATTTCTTGGACCAGAAACTAGACTGAAGTGGGAGGTCCTTAGGCAGAAGAAAGATTGGAGCGGTGGTCAGTGGAGTTCATCCTGAGACCTGTCCCCATCTTGACCTATCCTCTCCCGCCCTCCTCCACACTCTACCAGGGGTGGGGAACCTTTTTTCTGCCAAGGGCCATTTTGGTATTTATAACATCATTCTCTGGCCATACAAAATTATCTGGCCATTAAAAGTTAGCCTGCTATATTTGGTCACACGTTTAATTAACTCATCCCTAATGCCTCGGCATGGCCAGACCAAATGATTTCCCGGGCCTTATACGGCCCAGGAGCCAGATGTTCGCCACACCTAGAGTCTAGCCAGAGTGAACTTTTGTCATCATAAAAGAGCATGGTTCAGAGGGGCCATCATGACCTGTCCCTGCTTGCTCCTCCAGCCTTCTGTCTCACTCCTATTTTCTCTGAAACTCTACTGTCTAACCATTATTAAATTTCTTTCAGGTCCATAAGAAAGTCACCATATTTTGTGTTTATATTTAGACCCTTGTACTTATCCCTCTACCCCAGCCCTCCAAACTGCCTAATTCCTGTCTATTGTCAAGTTTCAAAGGAGACCTCACTTCCTCTAGGAATTTTCCCTGATCCTCAAGGCTGGGTAGGTTTTTCCTTAGCACTCTGCCCTTAAGCAGAAGAAAGGTTGGAGCGGTGGTCGGTGGAGTTCATCCTGAAACCTGCCCCATCTCGACCTCTCCTTTCCCACCCTCCTCCACACTCTATTCCAGGGGTTATCCAACCGTGTTGCAATTGCCCATTAACTCATATGCCTCTCCCTCCCCCTAGCCTGAAAGTGCCTTCAAGCAGAAGTAGAATCTGTCTAATATCTGACCTCATGAGATACCCTATGTTATAACTTCCCAATCAACTTGCTCCCAAATTCTTGATCAGGGGTCCTCAAACTTTTTAAACAGGGGGCCAGTTCACTGTCCCTCAGACTGTTGGAGGGCCAAACTATAGTTTAAAAAAAAAAAACTATGAACAAATTCCTATGCACACTGCACATATCTTATTTGAAGTAAAAAAACAAAATGGGAACAAATACAATATTTGTATTTGCATGTGGCCCACGGGCTGTAGTTTGACAACCTTTGTTCTTGATCTATAGAAACTGTGAGATAATAAGTGATGACTGTTGTCCTGAATCACTAAATTTTGGGTAATTTG